GGCTTGGTCAAGTGTTTGCAGCTGAGCATGTCTGACTCCCAAGGGAGTTTGGAAATTGGAGGGGAGGGGCACTTTTCAGATGTCACAATGCGGGAACACACACTGCTCTCTGTGAGGAACCAGGGATCATAAGTTTTCCTCAAGGTACAGGACAATCTTATACCATAAAAACCTGTCCCACCCAAATGCCAATAGCCACCTCATTTCAGCTAAGAGCCTTATAGCCCAAAATGTCTTGCTTTCAATATCTAGTGAAGGCAAATCTCCTGGCTCTCACTGGTTCTACCCACCCTGCCATATGAGTAGGTACATGTTTCACAGTAGGAGGACCAGCCCTAGGGGAGACCCCGAGGTGGACCTGGCTGTACTGGATATCTTGCTCACTCCTCCTGTGGGGTCTCTCACTTTACTGTCCATTCTGGCCTGTATTCATTCAAGCAACATTCCCTCAAGTTCCTGGTATTTGGCTACTTCCCTCATTCTGATCCACCAAAATCTGTTTCCAGCAAATTTTGAGAATGTACTTGATAAACAAATCATACTAAGATATTAGTCTCATGATGATACAACACATTCCTCATCTCAGGGATATTTATAGTTAAGGCTTACACCAAAGACACCACTTCTTGCCATCTTCTCTGTTACCACCCTGGTCCAAGCTACCATTTTTTTTTTTTACCAGGATCACTACAGGAGTTTCTTTATCAGTCTTCCTGCTTTAACCTTCCAACTCATTGTCTGTTCTCAACAAAGAGCTGACCTAAGTGAGATCCTATCATTTTTCAGCCCAAAACTCCCTTATAGCTCCTTAATTCGATAAGAATAAAAGCCAGGTATCTCTAATAGCCTGCAGGTTATAAATGATCTGAAATGGGAAAACTGGAGGAAGAGTATATCAGGGAGAAAGAACAAGAGTTCATTTTGGTCATGTTACATTTGAGATGTCTGTGAGACACTGAAGTGGAGCTGCTAAAAAGACATTATTATTAGATCCTCAGAAGCCAGCTTTAGGCTAGATAAGTGATTCTCAACTGCAGGTGATTCTTTCCCTCGCCCCCCCACCCCCATCCCTGGCCCACGGGGACACCTGGCAATGTGTACAGACATTTTGGGTTGTCACACCTGGGAGAGAGGTGTTGTGTTCTACTGGCATGTAGGGGGTAGAGGCCAGAGATGCTGCTAAACATCCCACAATGCACAACACAGCCCCCCACAACAAAAAAAGTCATCTAGCCCAAAATGTCACTAGTGCCAAGGTTGAGAAACCCTGGACTAGAGACATAAATATGGAAGACTTATTCAAAAAGATCATATTTAAAACCCAAAGTGCAAAATGAGAAAGAAAAAAAAAAGACTAAACCTTGAGGAACCCCTTTCAAAGTCAGACAAAAGTGCAAGAACCAATACAGAGGACTAAAATGGGTCAGTCAGAATGGGAAAAGGAAAAGCAGAAAGGGGTGGTGTGATAGCGGCCCAGGGAAGAGCATTCCTGAAAGGAAGCAACGCTCAGCTGCGTTCACCTGCATGGAGAGTTGCTAAAACATCAAGTAACACTGGTAGCGGGTAAGAGGTTTGCAAGACTGAAGGAGGTATTCTGTGGGGAGTGAGATAATAGAGGCACATGGGAAGATTATTGGGCAATTTTGAGGCTGCTGAGTATATCATTAAAGCGAAACAAACAGGCAGGTGGTTGAGTTCTCGTCCAGTCCAGAGGCTTTGCCAAATAAAAGAGATCAAAGAGGTACAAAGGAATCAAGGGGATTTTCAGGAGAGTAATTTGAATTGGGGCAGCCACACTGGATAAGGAAGGAACTGATGACAGGAAGGAACTAATGAATATAGGGAAATGGGAGGAGGGTTAATGAATTGAAAGTCTTGATGAGTCATAAATACTTTCCCATTATCAATCAATATATTTCTGTACCATGCTTTTAATTGCTCCATAATAAAATATTCTATTTCCTGATATTATTAAGTTAAATGTAGTTTTTCTTTAATAAGAAAGAGCTATTTACTATTTGAACACTGCTCACCATCCTACTTACTTTCCTGACCAAGATCAAATAGCATTTATGGAAAAGACCATGTTACCATGAAAGACATGCTGAATAACAGGCCTGGGTTAAAACATCAGCTCTTTCATGTTTTGGCCTTGGACAATTTACCTAACCTTGCTGAACCTAAATCTGTTCATTTAATTAACAGATTGTAGCAGGCAAAATAATGCTCCCCCTTCTCCCACCAAGGATATCTAAATCCTAATCCTTGAAACTTGTGAATATGTTATGTTACATGGCAAGGGAGAATTGAGGCTACAAGTAGAATTAAGGTTGCTAATCAACTGACCTCAAAATAAAGAGAGTACCTTGGATTATTCAGGAGGGTCCCAAGTAATCACATGGGTCCTTAGGGGAGAAGAGGGACTCAGAAGAGGCAGAACCAGAGAAATGGTGCATGTGAGGAAGACTCAACACGCCAGCCCTGGCTTTGAGATGGAAGGAGGCCAGGAGCCAAGGAAATGTGGGCAGCCTATAGAGGCTGGAAAAGACAAGAAAATTGATCTCTCCTAAAGCTTCCAGAAAGAAATGCAGCTCTGCAAACACTCAGTAAGGCCCATTTTGGGCTTTTGACCTTCAAAACTGTAAGATAATAAATTTGTATTGTTTTAAGTAATGAAATTCTTGTTAATTTGTTACAGCAGCAATAGGAAACTAATACACAGGTAAAACAAATCACCTTCATACACTGTTGTGTAGATTAACCAAGATAACATATATGAAGTACCTAGCAGAATGCCTAGTACATAGGAAGCATTTAAATAGCTTCCTTGCTATCATTACTAATACTATTAACAGCACCAAAAGCAATAGTAGTTAAAAGAACACTGACTCAGTTCAAGAATTTACTCAACTCTGTGAGTAAGATATGTTAGCTAACTAAGATATCTTAGTCAACCTCTGTAGGACTCAGTTCTCTCACAAAAAAAAAAAAAATGAGGAGGCCTAGAATAGATGACATCTAAAGTTTCTTCCAGCTCTAAAATGTTAATGATTCTAAAAGCTAATTCCTTAATGACACATTCTACTTATCGCTAATTAACTGATTCAGAAAATCCTATTAAATAAAAATAATAAGCCAAGCAGTTTTCATTTTATGTTTCAACATTTTCAATATTTTATATTGCTTTATAAAATTGAATCATGGCATAAAACTCATAAGCCTGCAAGCAAGGAAAAATATCTAAGTCATCCTGCTACTATTTAAAGGCCTTACAGCCAAACTACAATAATAATGATATCTTCTCAAACCGCTCAAAATATATTCCCACATATTACCTCATTCATTTTTTAACAGCTTTCTTGAGATATAATTCACATACCATACAATTCACCCTTTTAAAGTGTACAATTCATTGCTTTGAGTATAATACTTCAAAGAATTCTGCAACCACCACCACAATCTTAGACAGTTTTCATCATCCCCAAAAGAAACTCCCTACCCATTAGCAGTCATTCCCCATCTGCCTCCTCCAACCCTCCTACCCACTACTTTCTGTCCCTATGGATTGGCCTATTCTGGATGTTTCATATAAATTGAATCATATAACAAACATATGGCACTTTTTTGTCTGGCTTCTTTCACCTAGCATAATGTTTTGAGATTCACCCATGCTGTAGCATGTCCTACAGTAGTACTTCATTCCATTCTATTGCTAAATAATATTCCACTTTGTTTATCCATTCATCATTCATCAGCTGATAGACATCTATCTGGGTTGTTTCAACTTTTTAACTATTAGGAATAATGCTGCCATAAAGATTCATGTACAAGTGTTTATATATATGTTTTCATTTCTTTTGGGTATATACCCAAGAGTGGAATTGCTGGGTAACATATGGTAACTTTAAGCTTTCACCTTTTAAAAAACTGCCAAACTGTTTTCCAAAGCAGCTGTCTACTTTTACATTTCCACCAGCAAATGTAGGAAGGTTCCAATTTCTCCACAGCCTTAAAACTTATTATCTTTGAATATAGCCAACTAGTGACTATGAGTGCTCTCTTTTGTAGTTTTGATTTGCATACCCCTATGATTAATGATGTTGAGCATCTTTTCATGTGCTTATTGGCCATTTGTATATCTTCTTTGGAGAAATGTCTATTCAGATACTTTGCCTATTTTTTAATTGGGTAATTTACCCTTTTTAATATTCAGTTGTAAGAGTTCTTTATAAATTCTGGATACAAGTACAATATCTGATATATGATTTGCATGTAGTTTCTCCCATTCTATATATCTTATCTAATCCTAGTGCAGCTAATTGCACTCAACAGATTCTGTGTTGCTGTCCCCATTTCACAGAATTGGCATGTCATATGATTCAATAGACTTGACAACTGACAGACTCAAAAGGAAGCTTATAGCTGTGCCTGCCTGTTTTTATTTAATTTAAAGAGGCCATATATTGATAGCAACATTGTGACAGAACACCAGGAAGTCTCCGTCACTCAACCCTAATGCTGTCAATATTATTTCCAGTTACATCAAAGATGGTTCATTTATTCACTTGAAAAATAGTTATTGTCACGTGGCAGGCACTGGGTGCTACTCCTGGCTCAGCATGCATCAGCGAACATGACCGAATCCTTGTCCTCATTAGTCTTATAATTTGGCAGTGTCATACAAAATCTCTAGGTCTAAATCAATTTCTTAATAGCAAATAGTCCAAAGACATTTTCTACCTTAATGCTAAAAGATCCGCCCTCTTTTCAGAGGAACCATTACAGATTTTAACGCAAGTGATATTCTTTTTTTTTTTTTTATCCAAAGTGTCAAACTTATTTTGTGGTCTAGAATGACTTTGTTTTAAGTATTGGCTTTACTATAGTAGGTCATCACTTAGCTCTTATAAATCCTTTTCATAATGCGGCAATGCTTCCTTTAATGACACTTGTCAAAATGAAACTTTGACTAAAGGAAGAAAATACTCATGTTTTTTTACCTTATCCAGAAAGCTTGAAGGCTCAGAGTATATATCGTGGCCAATTATTACCGCGTGCTGAATAAAAACATTATAATAGTTCCATTAAACATGAAAACAAAAATACAGAATTATAAATCTGACAACTTAAAAAGGTAATTCTAACCTTGTCTATCAAAATATTCCTAATGCAGAGCAGAGGGACTGAATAATCCCCAGAAGAGTAAAGGCACAGCCTTAAGTGGCCCACACAAAGTTTAAATTTCTCAGTTTGTATTTTTTCCCTAAAAGAGTTCACACAAAGGTTACATTCTCAACTATAATACATCAGTTTCTTTTATTATATAAAGAAAAAAAAAATTAACATTTTTAATTAGGGTCAATATAAGAATTTGTTGAGAAGGAGCTGGAACTACATTAATTCTAACTGTGAAAATTTAGTACATTAAATAACAGCCAGCAAGTAAAACTAACACTCAGGAAAGATACCATGCCTATCTCATGGTTCTGAGTGCCCTCAGCGCACCCTTTTGTAACCAAGGTGTACACACTGCCGTTTGACTAGCTCGGTGCCTAAGGGTTAAGAAGGCATGGGCCCAGCATGACCTGAGGTGATCCCAGAGGTGGCCTGCTATAAGCAGGCAGCATCACAGTTCAATGCAGGGCTTCCCCACTCTGATCTGGGAGTCTTCTGGCCTGTCGTGGGTTGCTGTGTGGGGACAGAGAATAGCTGTCAGCAGGCAGGGAGCACAGCATTCCTGACTTCCGGTTCCCTCACATCTACCTGTCTTATGTGCTAGGCTTTCGTGTAAGTTTTCTGAAGTCTGAGCTCCGACTGAGGGAAAACAGGGCTGAAATTCTAAATCTAGAGGAAGTCTTGGCCAGGCAGACAACAATGTCCATCAGATCCGAAAGACACCGTGAGGACAAAATGGGAGAATGAATAATGAAGCTGGTGAGAAGCAGAGTCAAAAACAGGAAAGGGTGCGGTATGAGCCAAGGGTCGGGGTCAGGCCTTTGTCCACTGAAAAGAATGCCTATTGTGGAGCGGGTGCGTCTGCTTAAAGGAGCAGCAATGGGATCCTTCACCCAGAAGCACTCAACGGCTGAAATCTCAAACTACAATACGCTACTTCCAGGCTACAATCTTTTATCCTTTTGGCTCTCAAGATTCCTTAAGTCCCATTGCCAATCCATTCTCCACAAAACAACCAACGTGGACCATCAGAAAAGTGAAACAGTCACTCCTCTAATTCAGACCTTCCAATAGCTTTCCCACAGCACTTGAATAAAATCCTACATCTTTATGGTGGCCCTAATATGTCATGCCCCTCATTAATTACCACTCTCCTCCTCGCTCACGCTCCCCAGTGCCCTGGCTGCTCCTCAAGCAATCACCAGGCCAGGCTCTGCTGTGCTATTCCCTTACCCACGTGCACTGCTGTGTCCTAACCACACTCCAGTCTCTGCTCCGAGGACACCTCTTCCAGGAGCCTCTTCCTGTTCACAGTATCTCAAATAGCAGATGCATCACTCTCTAACCCTTTACCCTTCTTCATTTTTTTCTTTTTAACATTTTCTTACAATCTGAAGCCATAAATATATTTGTTGTTTACCTCCCACTAGAAGCAAAATCTACCAGGGTAGGGCTTTGCTTTGATGACTGTTTTGACCTAGGTAGCCATGCCACCCAGAACAGTGCTTGGAAGATAAATGCTCAATGTTTATTGAACAAACAAGTGAATAAATCATACTTGATCTTAAATATTTTTAGTATCCAGGCTTTCCCCAACCCCTCTGTATGTGTTTTCTGATCTATAAACTGTGCCACAAGCTTCACTTCTTGCCCACTATAACCTATGATGTGATCATCCAGCTTGGCCCACTCCCTCGCCTAAACTCTTCACTACCTTACCAGCTTGTCCTTCCCCTAAACCAGGGGTTAGCAAACGTTTGAGTCGGAAGAGCTGCCAGAGGTCAGTAAACTGCGGCTCACAAGCGTGTGGCTCTGAAGTAAAATTGAAAATGAAAATAAAACTATCATAGTTTCATTTACAAAAATTTTAAAGGACATTATTCACATAATGGTGATTATGTAAAAATGTGTTTATGGTTCTCGAATAATTTTTAAACTGTTGTGAGGGATAGGATTGGCTCTTCCAGGGGTCAGCAAACTTTTGAGACAGAATGTACCCAAAGACCGCATGTGGCTCGCGAGCCTCAGTTTGCCAACCCATGCCCTAAAACAATCTAAGGATCTACTTCTTCACTCTCACCCCAACCATCTAGAGAGCGCTGCCATAAAAAGCCACAAACATGCCAAATGGGGGTTCTGCAAATGCATGGTTTCCCATCTCGGTAGGCCCTTGCTTACTGCTATCCACCAATCTCTTCTAGGGCTCCCAATCAGCTCCCTTTCACATCTTACAGATTCAATTCCAAATTTCCATCACTTTCTTCTAGCTTCCAACTCTCCCCTCCACTCAGCAAATGGCATCACCTCCACAGAAACAAAGGAAAAGTTCTTAGGTCAGGCTCCCTCAATTTCCTCTCCCCACTGACCAACAACCAATAACTGACCGATAACCAACAACCATACACCCATTCTGCCCTCCTTCCTGGTTGTGTGGAGGAAGGATGTCCCTCTTTGTGCCCAAAGCTAACCTTCAACCAAAACCCTGGGACTCAAGCCACCCTCCCACCTCCTTAGGGATCTGATGCCATCATTTATCCACTTTACCCTCCACATCTTTAATTTCTCCTTTTCTTCTAGCTTTCCCCCCACTGCATGTGAATGGTTAAATCTCTCCCATCATAAAACAAACAAACAAACAAAACTAAGAAACTTCTCCACACAGGGAGCCTCTCTTGTACTGTCCTATTTACCCCTTTCTCTCCACAGCCAAGTGTGTTGAAACACAGTCTAAACTCACTTTTTTACCACTCCAGCCCCACCCCAATTCACTAATTAACCCTCTGCAATTTGGGTTTAGCCTGCAAACACAAAGCTGTCCCTCCAAAACATAGGTGACGTCTTAACTGAAAATTCATCCAGAAGTTACCAGACCCCTCAATTTAATATCAACACCCTTAATCTTAAAATGCTCGTCTCTTGGCTTCAGTAACATTATTCTTTCTTGGTGTTCTGCTTTTTTGGACCTTGCTTCACAGTCTGCTATTGACTGTTTGATCTAAGTCTCTATATGTGGTATAGCATTAAAAGCATGGGCTCTGTCATAGTCAGCTTTGGCTGCCACAACGAAGCATATGACTGGGTGAGAACAGAACACAAGTTTATTTTCTCACAGTTCTAAAGGCCAGGAATCCAAGACCAGGGTGCCTGCATGGTCAAGTTCTGGTGACAGATCTCTCCCGAGGTTGTGGATGGCCATCTTCTCACTGTGTCCTCATATGGCAGAGATCTTCTGTGTCTCATTCTCTTCTTACGAGGGCCCCAGTTCTATAGGATCATTTAACCTTAGGCCTCATTTAATCTTAATCACCTTCTTAAAAGCCCTATTTCCAATACAGCTATATGGGGGGAGGGGCAGGGACGGGAAGGCTTCAACATGAATTTGAGGGAACACAATTCAGTCCACAGCAGCCAACAATAATGAGATTTTAAGTTAAGTATGATAAAGCTGAATGTTATGTAACAGTTAACTGTGCAAGTATAAGAACTCCAAAGCAACAAAGAAAATGGGCATCACATGAAAATATCAGGATACAGAATTTTATATAAACATGTAAAATATATGCATGTGAAATAAAAAGGAATATATAATAATCATAATAGGAATGATGTTCAAGTAAAAGAGTTTACTTCTAATCTCTGTTAGACAATTTGAAAAATAAATTTTCACAGAAAGAATATATAAATCAAAAGCTCCAACTGAAAAACAAATCACTAGGAACAAATCTAACTGTTTCCTTATATCACTGCCATCTGGCATTAACTAGGATGTAGGCTATTCTGACAAAAGAAAACCAAGAATGTCTTGGCTCAAACAAATGGAGTTTACGTCTCTCTAATGTAATAGTCCAGTGGTCCCACGAAGGTAGAGAGCGCTCCTCAGTCCAGGGACTGAGGTCCCTTCTCTCTTGTCCCTCCACTCCCTGGGCCACTGCCTTTGTGCAGCTGGTAGAAGCTGGCTCAACAACCAACAACTGTGAAAGGGGGTAGAAGGAAAAGAATATGACAAACAAGCAGATTTTTAATACAAATGTGCTTTAGAAGTTGCACACATCACTTCCACTCCCATTCACTGGCTAAAACTTAGACATGTGGCCTCAAGGTGGCTACAAAGAGCCTAAGAAATACAGTTTCTATGAAGGCATCATGTGCCTCGCTAAACATCAGGGTGGGAGTGCATCCCTCCCACTCTAAAACAATCATCTCCTTTCTAAAGGGATAACCTAAAGCTCCATCCAGTTACTGGATTCAGCTCAAACTCTACAATCTCTGGATGATGCAAAACCTCTTCAACAGATATTGATTTGGCTCCATCCCAGCCCTGTGACCTACAAACTACAAGATGAGTAACCTTTGCTCTCTACCACATACCACCATCATACCCAACATACAACAGAATGCAAATAAGATAATACAATTAAGTCTTCCATTCTGAAAAGAATGGCAAATACATATTCTTACCAATGATAAAATACTGCTGGACAGGGACGGCAAAGAATCCCTGTTCTACCGGGGAAGCAAGTCCCTTGGTTAAACTTATTTCTGTTCTCTGGAAGGGGAAGCAGGGGGGGAATCTTCTTTATCAATTTGTCTGCTGGAGCCAAGCTTTGCCTCTGAAAGATTCCATTTTTCCATTATCTTTCTGGCCATATATGAAGTGGACATGTGAGAATATGTGCTCTAAAGAGGCAGCAAAGAGCTGGTACAAAAACGGGGGTCAAGGGTTGCTTTAGGAGTCAATGTCAAACTCTCAGTGACTTTTCCAGGAAAGCTTGTGGCATCTTTGACAACATAATCCTCTCAAAAATTCAACACGTCTGTTTGCCTTCAGTCAGTGCCATGTGAAAGTAACCACAACTATAGATTTAGTCTGGTTGTTGGTATTAGGCTTGTCATTTCTCCTTTTATTTGCTGGCGTCTACGGCAGATCCATCTTCACCCCCTCGATTTAAGGTTAGCTACGTTGAGGTCGACTGATTCACAACAGGAGGATTATACCATCACACCCCATTTACATAAGGGCATGCCATGTGACATGAGATGGTCCTTCCTGCCTGATTTCAGACTCAACCATTTGATTTCCTTTGGCTAATAAAATATGAACAAAAGAAAAACATGCCATGTTTAAGCAGCGGATTCTGCCATATCTCTTTTCCCTCTGCCACAGAATAACGATGTCCCCCAAAAGCCTATTCTTCCAGCTTAGAGCAACAGAGGATGTGGAACAGAGCCAGAGACTTGTCATGAGGAAGAAGTAAACCTTTGTTGTTGTAGAGAACTGAGACTTGGTATTTGTAACTGGATCTTTATCTAGCTTAACTGACAGTCCAAGTGGGGAGGTAAATCCTTAATTTGATCCTTGCCTGGACTGGCTTCCACTATCTGGCCAAGAAAAATTTAACGGCATGTTCCTAAGAATGAATCTTACTTCTTGTGGTTTGGGATACAGAAGCAATTTTTTCCAACTCTGCAATATTCCATTTTACTGTTCTTCCAGTCAATTCAGAGCACAGGCCATGGGCAAAGGGAACCTCATTTAACAAAACCAGACTCCCAACTCTAACGGTAAACTAGCTAATCATTTCCTTATTTGACACCCTCTTGTAGTTCCTTACAAATGAGCAAGGAGTAATCAACTCATTTTAGAAGTCTTTCTAACCACTTCCCTAAAGGAACAAACTGGATAGACACATTGACTGCCTTCCAAGTGATCAGAGGTGACAGTTTCACCAAATGTTTTACCACAGCACAGTCACCAGTTGTGTAAACTCTAACACAGTGCCTACTATTTGTTGACCAACCACTCAGCCAGGGCCATGCATTTTAGCTTGTTATTATGGCAACACTCCACTTCAGGTGCCAGTTTCCATATTCTATAGGGTATGGGGTGAATGCTTATGATAAAATGATGTCAAATGCAGGGGCTCAAACAAGAAAGAAGTTTATTCTCTTCCTTGAAACAATACAGAAGTAGGTAGGTGGCTGGGAAGGTAAGTGGTAGTTGGTTCTGCTCCACAGTGTCATCCAGGGCCCTAGGCTGATGGATGGCTCTGCTATACTCATCACAAGATGTCTTCTATCTCTGGGTTCCAGGCAGGTGTTGCCATTATTGTTGTTGCTGCTTTGCAGTCAATAGGAAGGAGCAGTAGGGTGGGGAGATGAACAGGACAAGCAACTTGTCTTCAAATATCAGGTTGTTGGAAAAGTCATGACATATTTTGTCTATGTTTTTCAAAGGTCATTTATTTATATAAAGAACAAAGATAAATCAATGATATATTGCCCATTTTGTTCGATAACCTTTTGCCATCTTTCAGTAAGCTTCATAATTCCTCATTCATAGAAGGACCCGTCTTTATTTGCGAAAAACTGAACAAGGTGCTGATTTACAGCCTCATCTGAATTGAACATTATACCACACAAGGAGTTTTGAAGAGAGTGAAACAGGG